GAGTAGATTTATATTGAATCTAAAGAAGAAACTAACTAACTAACCTCTAATATAGCAATGAACCATCGACTAAGTTGTGTATTTCTGAGTCCTTTTGAGAGTTCCTGCTTCGATGTAAGACCTGCAGAGTTCTCAGTGATTGCATGTCGTCAGTAGGGTTGCAAAATTCCGGGAATTTTCAAAGATGGAAACTTTCCACAGGAATAAACTGGGAATTTTCTAAATTGAAGGTTGGCTCTTCATAGGGAACTTAAATATAGTTGGGGAAAGTAAAAAAAAAAAAAAAGAAATCTGTTGAAATGTCATGTTTTTTGTTTAATTTTGCATCGAATATCTCCAAAATTCCCCAGCTTAACTTCCCATGGAAGCTTTCCGGAAATTTACCGGAAACTTTCCGCCCCTTTGCAACCCTAGTCATCAGTAACGCTCGTTAGTGTCTGATTGGACGGTTACCTCAGTCTCTTGTAGTACTGCTTGACCTTCTCCAGAGACGAGGAGTTGATCTGCGCCTGATACTCCTCCACAGACACGTTGTCTCTGTAGTAATAACCCTCCATGCTCTCCAGAGCTGAAACACAAGATCAATAAAATACAATCACTGCTTTTTAATCATATATAATCCTCTCTTGGATAACTTCAACTCCCACTGTATTTGATTTGATTTGAGTGTGTAAAACAATAATACAAGGAAATAATAAGAATACTGAAATGAAACAAGAGAATTATGATTTTGTACAACAAACTTAAGCAGGATCAGATTGATAAACAAAGTATGACTGACTCTAAATGATATATAAACAAATGATCTAATTACACATCTGAGAAGGGGTGGGAAGAAGTTACACTTATTTAATCCCGCCCCTTCTCCCAAAAACTACATTACTAACATATATATTGTTTTTAAATGTATGGCTACATACAATTAACATTTACAATTATAAATAGATGATATCATTATTACTTCAATATATATATATATATATATATATATACTGTACATTTAACATTTATATTCAATCTAATATTTAATAATCCATTCCGTGCTAAATTAATGTATATATAATATCCTGCTTTATATTGTGTTACTGATATCACATTTTTTTTTTTAAGCTGCTGCAAACGCAAACATTTCCTACATTGGGATCAATAAAGTAGTTCTTATCTAATAATCTTAAAGGTCACCTATCGTGCTATTTCTAGGCAATAGGTCTCAGATATATACAAATATATAACAACATGTCTATGAAGTGTTTTGCTCCAAATACCAAACAGATCACCCATTCTAGCCATGCCTCATATCCCTCTATTTCACTTCCTGTTTCTAAAGTGATGATTTGGGGTATAAAGCTTTAAAAAGGAGGGGTCTGAGCTCATGCGGGACCCGGCAGCTACTGTCTAAACTAAATGCTGCCGTGATGAAACGCCATATCATGGATTATCAAGGATTATCTCTGAAACAGTATGGAGCTCAAAGGCTTTCTCTCTTGCCGGTTATACCACAAGGTGAGTTCCTCTTTACTTCCTGCTTCTTCACACACATGCTCTCCAGTACAGGTTAGCTCTGAGTGTTAGCGATGCTAATGTAAACACCGACCATATTACGTCCAAAACAGTCGGGCATTGTTTCTGATAGCAACGTTTCTGATAGGGCCGTGGGTCCACATTTCAGATATTACGTCATATCGGACGCAAATCTGGATCAGCTCCGTTGTTCACCGTTTTTAGAGATTTGGGTACGGAGGAAAAGAGAGAGGGTTTTTCTGACGCTGCGTGAGTTCCCCGACACACCGGGGACACATAGTTATGTATCAAAGACATCAAAAAGTGCATTTTGCATGATAGGTCCCCTTTAAGTTTCCTTGAGCAACATTTAGTGTTAAGTAGTATCACAGGCAGCTG